GGGATCATCTAAACCGGGATCATCTAAATGGGATCATCCAAACCGGGATCATCTAAACTGGGATCATCTAAATGGGATCATCCCAACTGGGATCATCCAAACAGGGATCATCCAAACAGGGGTCATCCCAACTGGGATCATCTAAACCGGGATCATCTAAACCAGGATCATCTAAACTGGGATCATCCCAACCGAGATCATCTAAATGGGATCATCTAAACTGAGATCATCTGAATGGGATCATCTAAATGGGATCATCTAAACTGAGATCATCTGAATGGGATCATCCCAACCGGGATCATCCAAACCGGGATCATTCAAACACGGATCATCCAAACTGGGATCATCTAAACTGGGATCATCTGAATGGGATCATCTAAACTGGGATCATCTAAACCGGGATCATCTAAACTGAGATCATCTGAATGGGATCATCTAAACTGAGATCATCCAAACCGGGATCATCCCAACCAGGATCATCCAATACTCCCAGAATCATCCAGACCAGGATCACCCAAGACCTCGGGATCGTCCAACCCCCCCTGGGATCATCCAAACCGGGATCATCCAACACCCCAGGATCATCCAAACGGGGATCTTCCAAAACCCCAGGGTCATCCGTATCCCACCAGGATCATCCAACACCCTCGGGATCATCCAAACCAGGATTATCCAAATCCCATCAGGATCATCCAAACCCACTGGGATCTTCCAAACCCTCAAGGATCCCTCAAACTCACCTGGGATTGTCCAAAAGCTCCCAGGATCATTCAGCCCCCCAGGATCCCTCAGCCCCCCAGGATCCCTCCAATTCTCCCACAGGATGCTCCAGTCCTCTGGGATCATCCAATGTCCCCAGGACCCTCCAAAACCCCTCCAGCCACCCAGGATCCCTGAGAGACCCCTCACCACCATCCCCAACCCGATGCTGCCTCCCAAAAAAGGCTGCAGGTCATCCTGATGGAGCCTCCCAAAAACGTGTCCCCTCTCACAGGGGACCCAGCCCCACATCCCCTCTTCTGGGGCTTCATTGGGATCTCTCCACTATCCCGTGCTCCCTCCAGCTCTGCCCCACGTGGGGCTGTATATCCCTGGGGACACGAGCCCACGAGCAGGGGACAGTGACAAACACAGCTCCAGCTCCCTGGTGGCCTTGTAAGGATCGGGAGAAACATCCTGGGAGGAGCAGAGGGAAGTGCTTTGCCACTAGAATCCCTGCACAAGGCCTGGGGACACCAGTGTCCCCTCATCCAGAGGGGACAACCTGGCTGGAGATACCAGGCCCTGTTTCTCATCATGCTCCAAAATTTCATCCCTGTAGAAAATTCCTGGGCAATTTCATCCCTGTAGAAAATTCCTGGGCCTGCACAGGGCATCAGCAATGAGAAGCTGTTTCCTGAAGTAGAAATGCCAAAACCCCAAAAGAAAATGAGTTGTATTCCCTAAGGATTGGGATGTGAGGGATGAGGAGCAGGGAGCAGCTCACTGATACTGAGCACAGCCACATCTGAGCCTTTCCATCAGCAAATCCCACATTTCTGAGCAAGCTCTGCCTCACTCCTCTCCCAGGGCTCCCACAGCATTTCTGGGCAAGTTTATTCCTCCTCAGCTCCTCTCAGAGCTGAGACCACTCCTGGGACAGCAGCTCGGGGTTTGCCATGCCCTGGGACTAAAAATACTGAGAAAAATCCTGATGGGCTTTTGCAGATGGAGAGTTGGGGGCAGGAGCTGGGGGGTTTCAGCCTCTCCTGGAGGGCTGTGCGATGGAGAGCTCCTGTTTAGACTGCGCTCACTGGCTTGAGGAATATGTGGCGTCCACGGAATGCAGCGGCTCTGTTTTTCCAGGTTTGGAAAGCGACGGGAGGGAGGAGGATGAATCACACCAGGCTTTGTTGGGGAGCAGATATGGAACCCCTGCGAGCTGGCCACGAGCCTCACAAGGTGCTGCCTGCCCATCCCAGCCTCCAGCAGCACCAAATGCCAACGAGGACCCAAAATCAATCCAAAGGGATGAAAACAAACCTTGGGAGTGACAGTGGGATTGCAAGGAGCTGAACTCCTAACCCTGGACCATTAGCTCAGCCATACCTAGCACGGATTTTTGCTTCAGGAGTAAAAACCCCTGTGTTTTCAGCTTGTACCTAAAAGGATGGAGACAACACACTCGCCTCCAACAGGGATGGGCAGGGATTTGGGAAAGATCAGCCCAGAAAAACATAAAAACGGGAAAAACCAATAATGCTGCAGGTGGATTGCTGCTGGCTTAAAAAGATCTGAACAGAGATTTTTAAAACCCCAAAACATTAACAAAAATTTTTAAAAACACCCACAACGCTCCTCAAAAAAACCCCCTGCGAAACAACAATAAAAAACCTCACTTTGAAAAGGCCTCCCCCAAGTCTGACAAAGCCTTGCCTTAATTAAAATACTATTACAAATTTGTCCCTTGTTGTTATAGCGAACTTGGCTTTTAATTAGGCTGATTCCACAGAGTTGGGCTAATTAGTGTGCAGTGATTAAATTTCCCTCTATAAAGGCAGAAATCCACATCCACGAAATCAGATTAATTCGCCTGCATCTCTTTTTTATGGGCGTTGATATTGAAAATTTATGGAGACAGATTAGCCCACAAATTAAAGCAAAAATTCCTGGATACTGGAGAATCCTGAATTAGCCCAAATCCTCCCAAATTTCGCAGAGAAATAACGATATTTAACTGCAGATTTATCACTGCCCCGCGCACGACAGAGAAGGTGCAGTTAATTATTATTCCTGTTTATTAATTTCTAATAATTTGAGTTAATTTGGGTAAATTTCCTTCAATTTTATGAATTTTTATTTCTTTTTCACGCGGGGAAAAGCCTGCGGGAAGTTCCTTGCTGGTGGATGCGCGGCTCGGAAAATTCCCGGGATGGAGGAGGAGGAAAAAAGGAGCCGGAAAATTCCCGGGATGGAGGAAGAGGAGAAAAAAAGGAGCCGCGGGCTCCATCCCGGCAGCCTCACGCCTGGAATTCTAGGGAGAGGCAAAGAGCTGTCAAACAGCGTCTTTCGCCTTGGGGAAAAAAAAAAAAACAAAACGGAATAATCCTAATAATAAAAAGCTAAAAATAAAAAGCACCGCCGCTCTTCCTCCTTCTGCATTTCAATATCCTCAATTAAAATATTTCCCGGCGGAGAAATTGGCAACCAGGACTCCGCGAAGGTGAAAAAACCCTAAAAATTGGGGTTTGAGTCTGCGCAGGGACGGGGAATTATTGCCCGAGGGTTTGCAGGGCCGGGCCGGGGCTCCGCGCTCGCGGAGGCCACGGACTCCCCATTAATTAAGCTTAATTACACCGCATGCTCGTTTATTTGCTGCTCATACAATCGTGAAGCCCATGTACAAATAACATACAGGTTTTATTTCGGGATTTTTTTTTTTTCTTTAGGGACAAAACGTACACAAATAAAAAGGCGAAAAAAAAACCGAAAAAAACAAACCCACATAATTACAATTTTATACAGTGCAGAAAGAATTAAAATAGGTGTCACCAAACTGTACAACGTCAGGGCGAAAAAAAAAAATAGAGAGGGGAGGGAGGGGAATAATCCTTCATTATATATATATTTCTATAAAAACATACGGAGGATTGTCTTTACACAGAGACCACGGTCGCTTGCAAATTTACAAAGGTTAACTAAAAAAACCCAAATCTATATGGCAAATATTGCCAACAGATATTCCCCGATTTAATACTGATCAACTGAGACTATTCGTGTCTCGATTATTAGCAACAACAACAACAAAAAGAAATGTAGAATAAATAACAGGATGAGCATGGCTGTCTCTTTCCAAAGTGCCTTGTTCTCTCTGCATAGGGTCTGATCCTGCAGTCTTTATGCAGGCAAAAAAAAAAAATTTATAGTTCCAAAAAATCCCTCTGAGAGATTTTTTTGCCCGCTGGGTGTTGGCTGGCAAAAAAAGGGGGGGAAAATTTTTTAAAAAAGAGGAAAAAAAAAATGTAAAAAGTATTTTTCCGGGCTTGAAGCGAGACGGCACCGCGGGGATTTGAGTTCGGGGTCTTTTCCAGCCCCCTCAGCCCCAGCCGGCTCTGCTCCTCCCAGCCGAGCCGGTGGCATCGCTCACCGCCAACTCCCAAACTGAGTTTGCAAATTTATTAATTTTTTTTTTAAAAAAGAGGCATCAAAACCTCATTTGGCAAAGCCTCACCCCAAACTCGCAGTCGGGGCTTTCGGGACGGACGGGGGGGCTGCTTTTGCTTTCTTCTGCAGCCCTCCCCGAGTAGAAGAAGGCACAGACGCTGCGGGCTCGCACTCCCGGCCGATGCTCAGCTCATTCCCGGGAGCGCAATCCGCTCTCCCGCCGCTTCCCGGAGCTCCAGTCCGTTCCTGCTGCCCAAAGCCAGGCTGCGACACCCCCGTGTCACCCCAGAGCGTCCTGGGGGATGCTCAGTGCCCGGCTCCGGCCTGGCCGGGCCCAGGACCGGGGTTTTTCCGCCCCGGCTCACATAACGCACGGCTTGATGTCCTGGTATGTCACTTGTTGGTGGTAATAGGAGCCGCTGCCCGCTGAATGCATGGAGGAGGAGGCCATGGCGTTGAAAGAGAAGACGAATTCCTTTCTGTCGCACATGCTCGGAGACTGTGAGTGATACCGCGGGATGCCTGCGGGACGGGGGGAGAGATGGTCAGCAGCGAGAAGGGATTTAGGAGGGGAGGGTGAGCGCGGGGCAAGGAGAAAAACGCTGCATGGGGTTGAAAAAAAAAAATCCCAACAACCCAATCCGCCCGCACACCCCGTTCCGAGCGCGGATTTGGGGATATTTTGGCACACACGGGCACGGCGGGGGCTCCGCAGGTGCGGCGGAGAAAGCCCCGCGGCCCCGGGACTGCCCTTCCCTTCCCTGCCCGGCCCAAGGGCACCGCAAGAGAAGGCATTTGAGTTGGGTTTAGGGGGTTTTTCTGTCAGCACTTCGATTTATTTCCTATCGCCCCGGCTGCTTTTCCCATCGCCTCGGCCCGTGCGGAAAATCCGCCGGGTGCGGAGCGGGGCAGCTCCCGTTCGTGCCGGTGGGCACCGGGAGGAGGCCGGGGGCGAGAGCACCGGGAGCGGGGCTGTTCCAGCGCTCCTTCCGCCGCCTCGGGATGGAAAAGCGCCCCGGGAATTGGGGCTGCCCTGGGGATGGGGTGTCCTGCCCGGGAGCGCTCCCGCCGCTCCTTTGGGTGATAATCAGAGCGTTTCGGTGAAGGCCGCGCATGGGCCCGGTGGCTCCTCGGGGCCGATTCCCAGCTCCGTTTACCAGAGGCCCAGGATGAGCTGAGCTCCAGGAACTGCCCCGGGGCCGGAGGGTGCCCATGGTGGGCACTGCCAGCCCGGCCCGCCCGAGATTTGAGCTCTGCCCGGGTTCTGCAGCTCCGGCCCGGGCCGGCTGATGCTTTTTCCCTGCTTCATTTTGTGTTTTTGGCCCATTTGCTCTCGGCTTCACAGCCGTTCCTGTCAGGCACATCCCTCTCTCTGGAAGGCCCGGGGTGATGGGCAGGGACCCCCAAATCTGCCCCATCACCCGCCCATGGCTCCGGGGCTCCCCCGTGCCACGGGAGTCCCACACCCAGCACACCCCGAGGGGAATTCGGGCAGCAAAACTAAACCCAGCGCTGGACTCGTCCCTTCCGAGGCCTCTTCCCGGCCAAACACCATCTCCATTCCAAGACTCAGGGCAAATGCAGCCCCGACAGCTCCGGGGACGAGACCGAGCCGGTCTTTAGGGTCGAGACCTCCGCCGCTGCTCGGGTTTTGGGGCACGGGAGGATTTGGGGGGTCCGGGCCTCCGGTTCGGCATTGGCGACGGATGGAGGGAAGTGATGGGCCTGGAAAAGGCGGCCCTGAGATGTGTGAAAAACACAGCTGATGGCGGGGAAGGGGCCGGGATGGGACGGGGAGGGGATGGCGCGGGTGGCGGACCACCCGATGGGGAATTCCTCCCTCTTCCCTCTGCGGAATCCTCCAAGTCCCGATGGAGCTGGGAGAGCCCAAGGGTGCATTCCCGGCCCTCCTTCCTGCAGCCTGAGCCCACCGGCCTTAGGCCCGGGGCAGCCCTGGAGGTGAAGCAGCACCGGGAAGAGCCGAGCCCCGGCCCCGCAGCGCGGAGAGCCCCGACGGGCGCCCGGCTGCCCTTGGGAAAGAAGGCGAGGAGTCAGGGCAAGACAGCTTCCCCTCGGGAACAGCTTTAAAACCCCCACGAAGCGGGATCTCGGCTCTCAGCGGTATCGCCGGGATCCACGCGGGGCCCGCAGCCCCCGGCCGAGCCCCGTGGCCGCGGTCGCGGATGCGCCCCACGAGTGGCCGCCCTTACCTTGGAGGTCGGCGGTGTTGTGGCTGTTCTGGTGCAGGTAGGGCTGGTCCAGGGAATGCGTGGAGAGGCTGGAGGAGAGCGGGTTGGCCGTGGGGTTGCAGGGCGAGAGAGGCTGCTGCTTGATGTAGGACGCGCCGGTGTTGAGAGCCGCCGAGGCGCTGGGCGCCCACGCCGAGGCCGAGCTGGAGTAAACCGAGTGCGGCTCCATCACGCCGCCGGCGGGGAGCAACGGGGATGCGGGCACGGAGCTGTCGTGGTGCGGGTATTCCCCGGCCGAGGAGCCGGTGCAGCCGCCCATGTAGGTGTGCCCACCGTTGGCGGGCAGGTGGGGCACGGAGTGTCCTGCCAGGCCCATCCCCTCCACGTTGCTGGACAAATGCCCGTTCATCATCCCCAAGCCCCCTTCGAGGGAGAGGCTGTTGGGGGGGCAGGAGAGCCCGCCGGCCGAGCCCTGGAAGCCGTAGCTGTCGGGGAGGTGGTTGAAGCTGAGCCCGTTCATCATGCTGTACATGGGCTTCAGCGCCTGGCATTTCCTCCGGAACCCGCGGGGCCGGCGGCGGAACGAGCCCTCCTCGAACATGAACTCGCTGGCCGGGTCGATGGTCCAGTAGTGGCCCTTGCCCGGGCGTCCCAAGCCCTTGGGCAGCTTGATGAAGCACTCGTTGAGCGAGAGGTTGTGGCGCACCGAGTTTTTCCAGCCCTGGTAGGAGCCTCGGAAGAAAGGGAAGCGGCTCTGCAAGAACTGGTAGATCTCGCTGAGGGTCAGGCGTTTGGAAGGAGAGCTCTGGATAGCCATGACGATGAGGGCGATGTAGGAATAAGGCGGTTTCTCCGGCCGCCGGATCCCCGCGTTCGTCTTCTTCGCCTTGGGGCCGGCGCTACCCGGGGCCCCGCCGCTGCCCGGGGCGCTGCCGGCCGCGCCGCCGGTCCCCGCGGAGGCGGCGTCCATGGCCGAGCTCTGCGGCTGCTTCTCAGCCACCGAGGACATGGGGCCGTAGCTGCTCTGCACCGGAGGAGGAGGGGGCTGAGAGGACAGAGCCTGCTGCGCTTCTGCAGTCATCTACGGCCAGGTCCGCGGCGGCCAGCCCCAGCCCCGGCCCTCCTCCGCCGCCCCCCCAGCGCCCCCCCAAAAGGCCACGCTTTCGGGGGCTCGCCGCCACTCACCCACCACCCTCCCTCCGGCGTCCTCCCGGCCCCCCGGCGGGCTCGCTTTCCACCGGGAGACTTCACCCCTCCGTGGATAAACAAATGGAAGCGACGACACCCCCCAGCCCCCCTTTGCCTCCTCCTCCCACTTTATCCCTAAATCCGAGCGCGGCTGCAGAAGGCGAGCGAGAGGCGGAGGGTCGGGGGGGCCGCAGGGAGGCGGGATGGGGGGGCGGGTTGGGAGCGAGCTGAGCTCGGCTGCTGCGAGAGAGGAGCCGGGGCCGCCGCCTGCGCCTGCCCCGCTGCCCCTCGCCGGGCCGGGCTCCCGGGGCCGCCGCCGTCCCCTCCGGAGGCTTTAGCTGGGCTGGCGCTGCCGCTGCTGCGGGGAGCTGCTTCCCATCGCGGTGGTTGTCGAGTCTGCCCCCGGCCCCGCCGCTCGCCTTCTACTTTATCTCTCGCAGCGGCGTCTGCCGCTCCTTGACAGACGTAAGCGCGGAGCGGAGATCCCCGCCCCGAGCCGCTCCCCCCCCGCCCTCCCGGGCGGCCCCTCCGCCGCCCCGTGCCGGCCCCCTCCGCCGCCGCTCCCCGCTGGTGGGCAGCTTTTAAAGAGCCCTTTCCACGCCGCCCTGCCCCACCCGGGGGGGGCTGCACGCCGCACCCCTGCCCGCCGCGGACAGCACCGCGCGTGTATCTCTGTGTGTGTCCGTGTGTGGTTTATGCCACGCGTGACCGCGACGCGCCGTGGGGCTCCTCCACGCCTTCCCTGCCCCTCTTCCCAGCCCTGCAAACCACGGGAAGGGCCCAGGCGGGCCAGGGAAGGGGTCGGGGAGCGCTGCGGAGGTTCCGCGCGTGGCGTGGGGCAGCAGCGGTGCGCTGCCCGGCCCCGGCTCCGCGCTGCGCGCAGCTTCACCCACTTCGAAGCCCCTGTTCGTGCGCTCTTTTTAAGCTCGGCGGGCCCGGGCAGGATGTTTATACTGCGCAATGTAAACACGGGCTCGGGGGTGCTTTAATAAAAAGAAATCGGCGAAAACTCCCGCTGCCTCGCGAAATGCCCTTTTCTGCCTCCGCCGCCGCTCTGGGGCCGGGAACGGGCTTCGGACCCCTCGCCTGCTCCGAGGCTGCTTTAGGGATGAGGGTGGGTTAGTTTGCTTTGGGTTGTTCGGGGTGTTTTTTGAGGGGGGTGTGTATAAATCTGTGCTGGAGCTTCGCGGCTCCGTGCCCGGAGTTTGACGCTCAGCTCCTGCGGTGCCACGGGCACACGCGGCGGGTGGGGGGAGAAGGAGAATAGACAGCCAGAGGGGTAGAGACCCCCTTTTCTCCCTCCCCTCTGCCCCAAAAACCACCTCTTTGAGCACCGTGTCACCGGCAGAGCTGTCACTCGAGGTAAGTCACTTGGAACCTTTGTCACCTTTGCGCGGAAAGCTGCGCGGTGCGGGGGGATGGGATTGCGGCTGGGTGCGGGGGAAGGAGCCTGGGCTCTCAGGGCTGCCGATGTGCTGCCTGCTCCCTCCCGACATTGGGGAAAGGAAAAGAGAAAGGAAAAGGGGGGGAAAAAATCCACCCCGTCCCCCCGCGTCCCATTACAGGCCTCGCCGCAGGGCTGTGGGTGCATCCCTGTGCAAAGAGAGAAAGAGGGGACACTCCCATCCCCAAGACCCCTATCTTCCAGCTTGGCTTTTCAAGTTTTTAATGATAATTTAATACCTTTTAAAGGAAAGATAGGCACCGATCGGGTTTCCAAACTCCCTCCGCGTTATTGGCGAGCAGTTGTGAGCAGCCTCCGGGGCGCCTGTCACATCTGTGGTACTACCAAGAGGGATTTCACATCAGGGTTTTCTTTTTTTTTTTTTTTCCCCTTTCTTTTTTTCTTTTTTTTTTCCTCTCTATCCTCCCCCCTCTTCTCTTTTTCCCCGTCTTCGGAAGAAAAAAAAAAAAAGGGCATCCTGCAGACAGCACCGGCCCTCCCGTTCCCGGTGCAAACGGGCCCGGGACCGGCACAGGAGAGCTCTGGGCAAGCCCCAGGCCGGGGGCAGGTAGCCAGGGATGGGTGGGAGGAGGTTGGGACAGTTATTCCTGGAGCTTTTCCCCGGAGGAGGAGGAGAACGAGCAGCTCCGGCTGCCCGGAGAGGCGGCGGCCGCTGCTCCTTCGGCACGGAGCAGAACGTGGCTGCTCGGGAAGGGGGGGAAACCACCCCAAAAGTCGCTTTTTGGGGAAAAAATCACCTTCCCCGAGGCTTACATCCCCGAGGAGGCTGGTGCAGAATATTCCCTCTGCTTTTTGCTGCATTTATTTTTATTTTTGCTGTGGGAGCGCATCTCTGACCCTGAGCTTTGCTCCGCATCGAATGTTCCCCTCCGGCTGGCGAAAAGGGTGGGTTTCTTTGCTTTATATCATTCTGCGGCCGAATCTCCCCGATCTGCCCCCAAAACACTCGGGAATGGTGCTCGAAACACTGCACAAAGCGCCCGTGGAAAAATCACGTTCAAACCGTTCACCACCGGCTGTGTTTCCACGAGGAAATAAAATATCTCCGAGTTAAAAAACCCGAAAACTCTCAGTGGAAATCAAACTATTTCCCCTCAGAGAAAATCAGCTCCTTCACGAATGCTCTTTCCCCCTCCCGCAATATCTTTTAGGAGTGCGGAAATTTGTTTTCCGATGCATTTATTACAGCTAGCAAAAGTTAAAAATGGGAATATATCTCTCCGGGTCCTATAGGCCTCGTCGTGGGAATCGCAGAAATGTTGGAGGGTTTTAATCCGAGCCCACGAGTTGGGGAAAGGAGAGTTTTGGTGAGGAAAAGCGTGGTGTACGAGGAGGAGGATGGTGTGGGGAAAAACGGGACTCGCTTTTGCTGTTGTCTGCTCGTGGTTTGGGTGGGTTAATCAGCTCCTCCCCAACCCCCGACGAGCAGAGATGAAAAGAAGGGCGAAAAAGAAGAAATGACAAAAATTATATTATCATCTGGCGCAATTAGCGTCTCCCATCCCGTTCGGAGCCCTCTTTACCGGCCCCGCTGCGCTTCCCACCCGGCTCCTTCCCAAACCCGCTCCCCTTCCCTCCCCCTGCCCCAAACTCGGGCCGTGTTTTGTGTAAAAATAGACAAATCCGAGCTTTCTTCCTTTTCCTGCGCCGAAGGTATTTTTACTAGCTAATTGCTTAAGTGAAGTCAACTCGGCGAGCAGGCCGGGTGTAACCCGAGGATGGAAATGAATATAGGTGGCATTGTTAGAGGCGGGCTGGGTGCTGCTCCGAGAGGGGCCGGGGTGTTCCTGCGAGCCCGGACCACCCAGGGCGAGGGGAGTGACCGCCCCGTGTCCCCCTCCCCTCTGTCCTGCTTTGCATTAACACCACCCGCGGGACCCCCTCCTTGTTCCCCAGCACCAGCCTTTCCCCCTCGGCTGCCTTGGGGTTTTTTTTGGTGGCTTTTTTTTTTTTTTTTTTTTCAGCCGCCGCCATCCCCGTGGCCGCTGGCCCCAAATCCGCGGCGAATTGATCCCTAAATGTTTATTTAAAGGTGAGGGGTGCGTTCGAGCGAGGGGGTCGAGGATGGACAGAGGAGAGCTGGGGGAAGGTGGAAGCGCCGAGGGAGAGATGTTTTTAGGGAGACGCACGCACACCCCAAATATTTTTTGCGGGTCTATCACACGGCAATGCTTTGCCCCACGCGTGGGACCTTTCCCAGTCCCAGCCTTGGCCTCTCGCATTCCTGCAGGCAAAGCCCGGTCTCCAGGGCCGAACGGGACCTGGAGAAGATTTTGGGAGGGCAGAAGGCGAAACTGGGAACGCAGCAGAGTTGCCCGAGTATCTGAGGCGGCTGCGGGCTGGCTGTCACCGCCGTGCCTCAGGCAGAAGTTCAGGCTTTGGTCAGAAAAAAAAAAAAAAAATCTTAATCTCCCCCTTTTGTCTCCCCTTCCCCCGCCCTTCAAGCCCAGATTTTCCATGACGTCCTTCGATGAAATATTACAGCGCAGGAATTTACAGCCTTCTTCAGCTCGGGATTTTTTTCTGTGGAGTTTTCTGGCAGAAGCCGGTCCCTGCAATACAAATCGGTTCCAGCGATAAAAAGCTCCGAGCGCTACCACTCAAACACAATCGCTTCCCACAGAGATCTTCCAAATATCTCCGGGTATTTATTTATATCCCCGCTCAGGGACGGATAGCTAGAATGCTTTCCCGGGAGGATGCTTTTGGACTGGCTAGGATTCAGACCCGAAGAATTGGGTACCAAGAGAAACAGCGGGGTTGAGTCGGAGCAGAGCTCGAACCAGGCGAGTGATGCTCCCACATCCCACAAATTCGCCCCTAAAGGCAGCTCGAGTTGTAAATCCAGGTGTAAATCCAGAAGTAAATCCGTTCCTGAGACATTCAGGCTTTCTTGGACGAGGTTTCTTCCCTGGGGGCCTGGGGTTAGGGATGCTCCCAAAGCAAACAGAACCCTTGGGAAGGGATATCCCTTCTCCCAGCAATTTGGCATAGCAGTGGCATCCAAACAAAATTCACAGCCACTTCCAGCTTTCGCAGCACCAAATCCCGTCAGGATAGAGATAAAATTGTGCTGAAGAAACCTCTCAATCTGCTGCTGAGCTTTTTGGCATGAGGAACCACCTCCAGCCCCGGCAACTCCCGATGCCAAAAGTCTGGCTGGGCCAAACCGGGCCGGGGGTCCCAACCAAACCAGGAGGACGAGGGAATTCCACGGCATTCAGCTTTATTTCTAGTCTTATGGAACCTTTTTTGTTGTTGTTTTTGTTGGGCTTTTTTTTTTTTTTTTCTCTCCCCAAGTTTAAATCAAAACCCTTTCGAAATCCCATCAATGTGCCGGTGCTGGAGGAAGGGGGAATTTTAGCGTTGGGCAGGCGACGGTCACCAGCCCCATTTTGGGGTGTCACACAAAATCCGTCCGCACAGAG